ACAACATGAACAGTGAGCGCTACAATGAACTATGAATCTGGTGCTGGTTAAACAGAATGAGCAATGTCAAGCAATCACCGTACTGGAAAAAAATCGTAATCGATGTGAACCCATGTTATTATGCACAGGTATGCCAAAGTTAGAAAAACCAATAGTGAGTCCGGGGAAGAATCGTTCGACAGCCCACAAGTAACAATACGAATGTTATCTGTACTGTGGTTTGTTCGGAACTGCATCGCACAGTCCACCGGTCCTAACCCGGCGGTGGCACTCCAATTTGGTCATTACTCACGCTTTGGACTGCAGCCTAGGGAGAGATAGAGCTGTGAAATTTTAGTTTTTATCTTATGCAGCCTTCATCAGCCAGCTATGAAGTACGTACCGTACGGTAGCCCTAACAGTTTCGCTGCGAGCATAGAAAATTACACACACACACACACACACACACACACACACCGAAATTCCACCAAGCCAACAACACCGATGTCGAACACACATTGCGTTCGCTATTTAGTACAGATGACGATAAGGACAACAACTACTAATACAAAATAGGCAAACTAAAATGTGACAACGTGACAAAGTGAACTGGAACGGGAATATGACCGCACCTGCGCGCGATCGTCTGCGTCGATGCTTGGCAGGGAGAAACAATTCTACACTGGACGGAAACGATACCACAGAGTCGAACGCTGCACAAGAGCCCCGAGGAACGCTTAGGGAACGTCGTTGAGGTGAACGTTCATCTGTATCATATTCGGTTTATCGTTTACAGAGCCAGTGGGAAGAGAAAAATCCAGTGTGTGATTTACAATGCGGAGGTTAAAATAGAGCCACCCGGGCGGCGTTAGGAAATTCGCAACCAAACCGATCGGGTTAAATCACCCGGTGGAATGAAGAAAAACAGTACACAAACCGGTGTGTAGGGTACGGGTACGCATCCACGACACATCAAGGTGGGTGCAACGATTTGGGTAAATAGGGGAAATGGAAGCAAGAGAATAGATTAAGTTGTTCCTATGTAAAGGATCAATTACCATGACCAGCATTCAATGAAGAGTGCTGATAAAGGAGGCATTCACAACGAGTTTTGCCACCTTGTTTGGCACTGGACATGATTACTGTAATCAAATGCGGCGAATAAAACGATCATTATTCATGTACGGGAAATCGATATGAATCTTCTAAACGCGTTTCTACACGAGAAACTATGAATGAACATAACCGAAGCAAGTGTGCCATCATCCATCCAGCTACAGCTCAAACGAATCTACCTTTATCAAATTCGGAACCAAAAATGGGGATGATGATGATCACAACATAAAGATCTTAGATAAAGCAACGATATGGTATAGGAATTAAAGCCAACAACGAAACAATCGAATCATTCTAGTTAAATATAATCTCTCTGATGTGTGTGTGTGTGTGTGTGTGTGGTAGACATACAGCGAGTTTTGCCCCCATTGAATTGAAACGCAGTCGAGACGGACAGGGCATGATTCGATCGTCGGCCAGTGCCCTCCGGTTCCATCCCGGCAGAAATCACAGTGGACGTGTTCATCGAGGTGGACATGCGATCACGCTCGTCGTACATACTGTCCGAGGCTGTGCTACTCGGCTGACCGGCATGCGAAAGTCCGGCCGCGGTCATTGCCCCAAACGACATGTCAACCAGAGCCAGTAGATAACGTGCGTGTTCTTTGGACGAACTGGTATGAGCACCAGACTGTTCGCCCGATTCTTCGCTAACTACAAGAACAGAAAGAATATGTGCGATTTCCATGTTGTATGTTGCTAGAGATTACAGGTAAATGCAAAGATTAAAAACACGATGCTCCGTAAAAAGGGACAGAGCATGATCGGAAACTTGGATCGGATACGCTGTGGATCGAATACAGCGACAATTTTATCACATAAAATCCCACGCCCTATCAGTCAAAGTGTATGCATATGTCCGAGACTATTCAGTTTCAGCTTGAATAACCACTGACTGTGCATGTTTGTCCGTTGGTTATGGTTGTCTTTTGACCACTTAACCCACGCAACCTACGGATAAAAGTGGACTACGCTGTCTGTCAGTAATCGAACCGACCAGATGGATCAAATTTGGCCCGATGAGAACACAACTCACCTTATCGCGCACTAGCTAAATGACTCGTAGTCGAATTGGAAACAAAAGAAAAGACTGAACTAACAAGGCAAATGTTACGCGACTCGTTTGACCTGGTGGATACTATTCCGAAAACAGAGGTCAGACATGTCTTGGACGCGTGGGGTGATGTTCCGTTATGCTCACATCGCATATGAAAAGCGAATAACATCGTGGGGTAGATCTATCATTTGTCCAAATAGACAAATCATGTGAGGTTCATGACGACCCAAGTTGGGGGTAAGGAATACCATTCACCAACAAATATCAAGGAGGGCACTGGCCATCACAAAACACTTATCCATCACTGAGGGCTGTTCGTAACGTTTGGGCAGACCAGGACCGACTTACATAAAAAATTGACCGATTGGGGCGAAGGATCTCTCGCTCTGGTCAAACACGAAGCAGTTCCTGCATGTCAGTTTATAGAAGATCACAAGTGCATGAACCTTACAGTGATTATTACAATTGGGTGTATGCGGAACATACAGCAATTCCTGCAAAATGCACTACACTAAACATTAAGAAATATGGAGACATGGTTAACTGTCCGTTATACTAATGATGATTGAATCGCATCGTCAGACACCACAGACGCCATGTGGGCTGATAAATGAGATGGTGTTATACATTGAAACGTTTACTCTCGACGGATCGGATATACTCATACCTGTAAGTTTCCTGACTGGGCGCCGAACAAATCACGGTAGAAAACCAACAAAAGGTCCGCGATTTACTCAAATTCCCATTCAACCTCAACTCTTTTATCCAAATAAGCAGCCAAAACCCTGAACGGAAATGCATGTTTTACGGTTGCATGTACACTGAATTCAAATGAATACGGGTTCGGTATGTAGGAAATATGTAGGAAAAATCCACGAATCAACGTGCGGTAGATGGAATTCTGTCCAATGGCGGTTTATAATGGAGTGAATTCGATTTTTCGTCGTGCAATAAAACGATATAACAAATGAAGCGTGAACTGGAAAGGTAGAAAGCACTGGACAGCTGCATCGACCTGCTTAGGTCTCATCCGTGCTATGCAAATCCATTGACCCAACTGGGGATCGAACCCGTGACCTTACGAGCAGAACGAACATGCTACCCACTCGGCCACCGGGAAGCTAGCTGATCAGACCGTTTTTCGTTTTACATTTACACGATATAACACAATCCATCTTTGCGAGCTTGTTGCGGGCCACAGACCCCGCTCATCTCGATGGATTCGTACTGCTGATGAGACCCAACCAGGTCGAAACAGTTGTCCAGTGCTTCCTAGCTTTTGAGTTCACACTTCACTTGCTATATACACGACGAATTCCCCTTTGAAATTGACCCAATTCTTCCATTACTTACTTGACATACGTAGTCAGGTTGTTAATATTTCCAACCCAGTCATAACCCGGAGCCTAGTGCTCTTTATTATGAAATATTCCAGTTATCTACCACTTCCCCTGTTTAACTGTTTCAACCTCTTTCTACTTTGTTCTGCATTCCAATCCACCTGCCTCGTATTATTGTTATTATTATTATTATTATTGTGACGTTGGCACTATGATTGTCTACAAGCCAGTATTATATATATATATATATATATCAGATTATCAAACGTCGTGCTCAGCCGCTTCCTCCTTCTCTGAAAACTATCATTTTCTATTCAGTAGATGAAAGTAAAACGAAAAGAAACAAGAAAAATCCCGTCCATCTTGACATGGGGAACGCTGGGCTTAAATCGGTGAAAAACAAGCAGAATTATTGATGCCAACGACAGGGGCGTAAAACACCCGGTGACGTATTGGAATATTGGCATGAATCACTAGTACCAGACTGGAATCGTATTAACAACACACACACACACACAGACACGCATCGGTTGTTTATACACCAAGGCACCTGAAAACAAGTTCAGATGAGAACCTGGTCATGAGTTTTCACTATTTACCTGTGTTCAAATATACACTCTACATAGTTTTCGGGATGTTTCGTTTGCGAAACTTGGGCATACACTACTGTTCCGGAGATGAACTACCGCCGTAAGCATCAACAGAGAAGGACTTGGGTGTTATAGTCCACGAAGACCTGAGATGTTCTATTAACTGTGCCAGCAGCACTCAAACATACCGGTCTACTTAAACGAGCTTTTGGTCGTTTGGAACCAACTTTATTCCCACGTCAGCATACATCCGGCCGCATATTGAGTATGCCATCGAAACCTGGAATCCATGATCAAAACGTGATCGTAAGATTTTGGAGCGTCCACAAAGGCTCTCCACGAAGATAGTCACAAGACTCTATTATGATTCATACATGGGGAAACTGCAGTCATGGTTATATACTCTGCTCAGTATTGTCAGATTCGGAGAGACTTGATTTTAGTGTACCAACTGCTACACAACCAAACCGCCCTTGTCGCCCACTTTTGACGTTTTCATCAAACGTTCATTTACGGGGACATCCATGTAAGTTAGTCCTCCAAAAATCTCGACTAGACTGTCGACGTCATTCGTTCGCCGTCAGAGTGTGCGCTGTCTGGAACTCTTTACCATCTCACGTCAATTTTGCCACGACGATTGGTTCTTTCAAGGTAAAACTTGATGAATCGTTATTGACACACTACATTCCAACATCCATGAGCACACATAACACAACCGAATACAGCCTATGGAATTTTATCCGCCATTGTTACAGTTCAATTCGTGTGAACACCCAATGGGACAAGTAATCTTATGCTTGTAAGTAACACCCATAATAAAACTTTGACTGTGACTTTGTCCACCGGGATAATCAAATATATCTGGATTATTCGCATTGGACTCACAGTTACTAGTGACTGGTGGTGTGGGATAATTTATGTTGATCTGATCTGATCCTTCGGAATTCAGCTTTACGCACAATCTTTTGTTCACCTAGTCAATCACACATCAGAGATGAGTTTCGTTCTTATAAGGGCTCATCAGTTGTGCATATCCACCGAACTTCGAACTTTGAAATGAACTGAGAATATAGGTGGCAAAACTAAATTAAACAAACAACAAAACCACGAGTAGTAACGATCATGAGGGCAGCAAAAGGTGGGATAGATTTCACACAGCAGTGACAGGAGAACAGTCAATGCATGGAATCTGGTCCGAAGTGAATTCTATGGCACAGAGCGCTGTCACGTGTTTAGGGAAGGAATTCAGAATAAACTGTTGAATGCAATACCGATTTGATGCCACTTGTCTAAACGAACAAACATCGCACCCGGAGGACGTATCACGAATAAGGTGTTAGCCGCATAGGCATTTGTCAACCAAAGATATCTGTCGCGTCGTCGCGATATCCAATTGTCTGTGAATGGTTGAGTGTATAAAGCGGCAGTTCGGTCGGTTCTCCTATACGGCGCAGAAACATGGCCATTGGGAAAACAGGATAAAGAGGGAATGTCGGTGTTTGAACACCGCTGTCTACGCAGCATTGCATGAATCTGGTGGGACAGCCGGACGAGCAATGCTGAGGTTAGGCGTGGAGTTTTAGGAATCGCGGTCGTCCACTGGAACAGGTAGTCGACCTCCATAGGTTACGATAGTTGGGACATATGTTGCGCATGTAACCAAATAGATTTCCACGACGGATATTTTCCGAGATAGGTAGTGGGTGGAAAAAGTACAGATTGATCGAACACAGATCTAGCATGAGGGTCTGAAAACCGTAACTAGGGCTTCCTGGATAGGGACCCGGAATCATCGTAACCGGTTGTTAGAGACCTGAGTGATATGACTGGTTGCCGCAACTAGTGGCGCTCGTGTATCCACTCATTATTCCTGCAACTACAGTCCACGGGAATTCTCAATATTCTTTTTGACTCTGCCCTCAACATTCCATTCATCTTTCTGCTCTTTTATCTCGAAGGACCGCCAAAAAAGCAAACAAAACCAGCGTACAAA